GTTCTTAAGAATCCCAATGAAAAAAAAAGAAAAAAAAAGAAATCCAAGTCGATCTTTTAGACAAAAAATTTGAAAATAAAGAAAAAAATTTGTATTTAAAAGAATTTCTGGAATTTTCTCGATGAAAGTTTTTTACGACAGGTTTTTAAAAAGAAAGTTTTTCCCAAAAAAAAAACAAATTTTAAAAAAAAAGAGAAAGTTTTTGGACTGCCAAAGAAATGAAAGAAAAAAAAAAGAAAATTCAAAAAAACAAACAATAAACATGAAAATTTCCCACAAACAAAAGACAAAGAAAATTAAGAAAGAAAAAAATTTCAAAAAATTTTTTTCAGAAAAAAACATTTTTTTCTTAAATTAAAAACTTTTCCCAAAATTTAAAATCTAAATTTGTAGAAAGAAATTAAAAGTCGAAGGACAAAATTTGAAAGAAGGAAAACGATGCCGAAATTTAATATTCTTTTTAATCATTAAAGGCTTTTCCAGAAAGAAAGTTTCATTTTTTTTATTTCGGTAAATTTGATTTGGAAATGATTCTCCAAAAACTTTTAGAAAAAAAATCCCTCGTTCTCAATCTAATAATGCTAACAATATTTTAACAAAAAAAAAAAATTTACCCTAATTTATAATTTCCCAAATAAAAAAAAAAAATAGTAAAGTATTTTCTGAGAAATCAGCTTACGGCCGCATCACATTGAAACACCGGCTCCTGTAAGATTTTCGAAGTTAAGCACATCAATATCTAGATGGGTGATCGCTTAGAAATACCCGATGGTGTAAGCTTGGGTGTAAGAGTCATGTAATGGATAACGCATCGAAATTGAAACTGGAAGAGCCGAGATCCAATTTCATTGACATTCGTTATATTCAGTTACGTGCTAAAAAAATTTATAGAAGACATTTTATGAAAATTTCCAAAGAACTGAAATGGGGGATATCTGCTTCGATAACTGTATTTCTGAATAAATTTTTTTAGTAACACCGTGATTCCCCACCTGATGAGACGTTTAAAAAAGGTTTTCCTTTTTTTGACGTTGAAACAAAAATGTACAATTTTGTAGTGGATATGTACATGTTCAAATTAACACTGCATAAGATATATATATATATATATATATATATATATATATATATATATATATATATGTATATATATGTGTGTGTGTGTGTGTGTGTGTGTGTGGTTAAAATTGGTAAATAATCCAAAGTTCCTTAGTATTTTAGTTATTATTTTTTAAAAATAGTGCTCGATACAAAAGTAGAGCATAAATATAATTATTTATTTAAAATATGATTCCAAAAAGATTACGATATATAAGAGGTCTCTCATGTTTCAAAAACAAGAGCCGAAAACTTCAATATAATTATTTGAATTAAATTAAATAAATTCAAAATTGAAAACCATATATATATAATTTTTTTAAATAATATATATATATATATATATATATATATATATATATATATATATATATATATATAAATTAAATATAGTGTTGCCAATTGTTTGATCAAAATTATATATATATATATATATATATATTTATAAATATTCAGGTATAGAGATATATATATATATATATATATGAATAAAAATTTTTGAATTTCAAATGAAAATCATCAAAGAATTTATTATATATATATATATATATATATTATATTTATATATGGATTTATTTATTGTCCTATATGCTTTATTTGAAAAGTTGTATTATTTGGAAATATATATATTTAAATATTTCTGTTTTAATGATTTTATTCAGAATATAAGATTTTTATTTTATAATGAATCTTTTTTTCATTTAAATAAATTATTTTTCAGGAGAATTTTTTTAAATTTTCAAAATGTTTTTTTGTTCACAGCTCATCAGTATATTTGTCCTGATGCGGATTTCCAATAAAATAAAAAAATATTAATCTTTCACAGTTATTTTTGGCTTCCTATATTGAAAATAAATTTATTTTCATGGATATCTGCTTTTAATATATTTTCATATGAAAAACCCCATGAATATGAGTTTATAAATATTTGGATTTTGGATGTCTTTTAAACCAAATTTCACTGTTGAAACAGTTAAATGTTTTGCCTCTTTCAATCCTAAATACCAACATATTTTCCTTTTTTTCTCCTTTGATATAAATGATATCTATAACCTTCAATTATTCAAATGTAATATCAATCGTCATCTTGATGTCTTGATCCTGATATCCATCCTTCATCCGTTCATGAAACTTTTGCAAAGAATGCTAAAAATTTGTGCTGCAATAATCAATATAGAAATATATTTTGACGAGAAAAAATTTAATTTCAGATGCTTTTTTTCTTTTTGTCATGATATTTTTAAAAAAAATCATATCTTTAAAATTTTAATAAGCACGTAAAATAATATTTTTTTTTCTTATTTAAAGTATAAAACAACTACTTTTTAAACAAAATTTAAAAAATAAAAGGCTGACGTCAATCTTTTTTTTTTTTTTACAACATATATGTGTTATACAATTGATTGATTTTCGTTTTGTTTTATTTTGAGAACTATAACGGTATAAATATTTTACATTATTACAAAAATTATTTGTTTCTTCATTATCTTTTAAAAACTGAATTTTTAAGAATTTGCCAATTTATGAAAATTTACAAACGATACTTGTACCCTCATCTTGGGATTATAAATCTAATGGTTTTGGCATCTAATTAAGCAAATAAAATCCTTGAAAATATCCATTTCACTATATTGCAAAAATCATTTATTATAATATATTATTTAAACTAATGCTATAGATTTTAATGTAATTTTGTCCCATTCTGGGCTTACTTTGTATATTTTTATAATAGAAACAGAAATTAAATAAAATGAAATTCATAACATGTTTGATTTCACAGTATATTTTGTTTTATGCAGATATTTTTGATATTAATTGATGCAATTTTATTTTACATAATCTTTTTATTTTACTGTGATTGGCTGGTATATTTAATTTTAAAATGCAAATTTATTGGATAATTAAGGGCGACGCCCATTGGACTAACTATTGGCTATCCTTTTGGTCTACTCCTTTGCCTATGCCTATTGCACTATTCGACGAGGAAGTCCATTACGGACTATAGCTACCAGAACAACTAGAATTAATGATGTCCTATCTATAATTTTTTCTTTTTTGTTTTGTATTTTTTATTTTTTTGATATTTCTTCAAAGATTATTGACAAAATTCAATGAATATGCATTTACCTATATATTTCCCCTCACAGTTTTATATGATTGGCTTTGTCATTTATATATAAATACAAACAAATGTAATATATATATTTATTTATTACGCCTATTGCCTTTATACACCTATTGACTTATGGAAAATAGACGAGTACCAGTTCCATTACTTGTTAAGGATCTAGATTGTTTTTTTTAAAAGGTAGCCTAAAGAAATTTTAAATAAACAAATATATCCATTTTCCGGGACATATCATTAACTAAAATTATTTTTAATATATAGAATAAACTTTCCATGAAAAAAATATGTGGTCATTTATTTTTTTGAATACGTACGCGTAAAATATAAAATATTAAAAGACCCTATGTCTAAAAGCATTATATATTAACGCTGGCAATCTTCAAGATGTCATTATACACACCATATGTATGTATGCATGTATGTGTGTTTGTGTGTGTGTGTGTTTGTGTGTGTGCGTGTGTTTTTCAATGATTTAAATTTCGGTCCACTGATTTGCGTTCGATGAAGTAAATATTGATCGTAGATAATTAATTATTTTTTTTTTTTTTTTTTTTTTAAATTCTGTTCTTTTTTTTTTTTTTTATGCCGTCCAGCTCTATTTCTTATTTGTTTTTTGTTTTTTTTGGATTTTGAAATTATTGATTTTTAATGCGATCATTCTTTTCAAAACTGAACTAAAATAATGAATTTTGTAGAAAAAAAAAAATTAAATTCAAAAGTATATTAAAAAAAAAAAAAATTATTGCAACCCCACCAAATAAAAATACTTTTACTACTATTACTAAACTACTACTAAATACTAAGTATTAAAACAAATAATAATAAATAAGATCAATGTAGTTAAAATAATTTTTTTGGACTTTTTTCGTTTTTTTGGTTTCTAAAATTTTGTTTTCTCGCCTAATTTATTTTTGATTTATTTATTCTTTTGGTTCTTTCATCCATCGAACAAACTGGATCACATTTCTTTCTTTCTTTCTTTCTTTCTTTCTTTCTTCTTCGTCTTCTTCTTCTTTTTCTTCTTTTCAATTATTATTATTATTAAAATATAGCTTATTATTATTATTATTCTCCATTCTTAAATTTCTACATCTTAATTTTTTTCATCTTAATCAATAATCTTTCTTTCTTCTTTCTTTCTTTCTTTCTTTCTTTCTTTCTTTGATTCTTTCTTCTTTATTTTCTTCTTATTATTATTATCCATATTCAATATTTCTACGTTCTCACATTTATTCTTTCCTTTTCTTTCTTTTTTTTTTCTTTCTTGATTTTAAAATTCTTCTTCTTCTTTTTATTTATTATTATTATTATTCACAAATTCCCTTTCCCATATCTCTACATTTTTTTTCTTTCTTTATTTATTTTTATAATTTTTATCTATTCTTCTTCTTCTTGATTATTATTATTATTATTTTCCAAATTCTTAATTTCTTCAGTTCTTTAATTCTTTCTTTCTTTCAAAAATTCTTTTTCTTTTTTCTTTTTTTCTTTATAAAATGAAAATTATTCTTCTTAATCTTCTTCTTTTCTTCTTATTTTTTATTATTATTATCCACAATTTAAAATTAGGTTTTCTACATTTTTTTCTTCTTCTTTTGTTTTCTTTTTTTTTTAAACACCAAAAACCCCTATATTGAATTATCTCATTCTAAATCTCACCATTTTTTCATCCCCTTTTTTTTTTCATTCATTTTTTTTCTACACTACACCCCTTGCACCCGCTTTTAACGTCCTTTTATTTTTTTAATAAATTTTTCTCTGCCGTAAATAAAATATGTCTTTCGTTTCTTTTCAAACAGATTTCCCATCGAATCTCCGTCAAAACTTATCAAATTCATCGCTTTTCCACTGGCTTTTACTATTTATTCTTTTAGTTATTTTCCCCCCTTTTTCGTTTGCGTTATGATGTTGGCTCCAAATAGACGGGTTTGGACGATTATTCTTTGTTAAATAAAATCCATTTATTATATATTTATATATTTTATTTATTAAATATTCAAAATTTTACTCCACATCTATTTACCTAAGAAAAAGTGTTTAATTACTGAGAATTATCGAAAAAAACAAAAAACAAATAGCAGTCAAAACTTGATTACAACCACCACGTCTGTTTGAAACACAATTTCCCTGGGTTCATTATCGACTTCACCGCCGATATTTCATTTTTCTATCTCTACTGCACTTTATCCACCTATTTGTTATTGATTCGAATATTTTATCTACGTTTGGACAGGGGGTTTTTATATATATGGTTTTCATTTATATATTATTTTTTATAAAATTCATCTCTTCATCATATTTTCTTCATTAATCAGATCTATTATTTCTATCTATTCAATCTCTTTCTATCTATCTATCTATCTATCTATCTATCTATCTATCTATCTATCTATCAAAACTATGGCTATCTCAATCTGTTCAAATATCTATCTATCTATCTATCTATCTATCTATCTATCTATCTCAGTTTCCAATATCTATCTATCTATCTATCTATCTCAATCTATCTATCTATCTATCTATCTATCATCTATCTATCTATCTATCTATCTATCTAGCTCAATCTGTTCTATCAATCTATCTATTATTCTATCTATCTTAGATCTATCTCATTCATCCCATCTATCTATCTATCTATCTATCTATCTATCTATTCATCTATCTATCATCTGTTCGTATCTATCTATCTCAAAAGTTTTATCTCTATCTATCTATCTATCATCTATCTATCTATCTATCTATCTATCTATCTATCTATCATTCTATCTTGTCTATCTATCTATGTCTATTATCTATTAATCATCTATCTATCTATCTATCTATCTGTTCTATCTATCTATCTCATTCATTCTATCTATCTATCTATCTATCTATCTATTCATATCATCTATCTATCATCTATCTATCTATCTTTTGCCTATTTATTTTCTCTATCTATCTTTCTGATCAATCTATCCACACTGATCATAGATTGCTTCATTGA